CCCCCCCGCCGTCGGGCGGCGGGGCCCCTGCGGGTCGCTGGCAGCCGAGAGGCTGGAAGTGCCGGCGGGCGTTGGTGAGGGAGCAGCCGCCTCCGTCGTCTCCAGGCTGGTGTCCCTCCTGCGACCGCTGACCCTAGGGTGTAAAACCGTTGCGTTGTCTGTACCTAAACAAAAGCAGGGTGCAAATCCAAGAGAGCAAACAGGGTGAGAACCTTCAACGTGATGATGTTGGCCTTCGGCTCAACCCTGACTTTCAGTACGTAACAAGATGTGCCTGGTGGCGAGGGCTGGTGGGGACATCTCCGCGAAGCCTTGGCTTGGCAGCCCGGCTCCATCGCACCAGGGCTGTGGAAATAACGGAAAATCAGCGGTGAGGCAGGAAAGAAAGGCAGCTCACGCTGCGCCGACTTCTGCGAAGGCAGCTTCAAGTTGTGCGGTGGATCGTAGCGGGTTTGGGTTGGTGGGGGTGACAGCTAGTCAGGGTAAGGCCACGTCCTCTTCGAGTAAATGAGCTGCCCCAGAGAAGAGCTTGTGCCTGTTCGTGTCGGACCGCAGTGCGTTGTGCTTCAGGCGTGTGTGTTGTCCCGGAGTCCTGCTGGCTTCCCCAGATTGCCAGTGCCTCAGCCAGGAACGGCAGCCTTCCGAGGAACGGGAAATTTAGGGGGTGGGGGGAAGCTCTGTTTTAAAACCAAAGAAGTTGCCGTCTTCTCCGGAAGAGCCCTCACTTTTGTGTGATGGGAAGACCAGGCAGTGCTGGAGGAATTCCAACCTTTGATGTGATGAAATGGAAGACTTCAGGTTACCTTCTAGATTAAATCTTTATCTGATTTCATTCTGGTGTGGCTGCTGGTAATGGTTGGACTCGATGATCTTGATGGTCTCCTCCAACCCAAGCGGTTCTATGACTGACAGACCAGTCTGACTCTAACAGCAGTCGTTACAGCATAGACCTCCATTGCCTGAGCAGCATCCAGGTGTCCTTGTGTGTTTACAACGTTCTCTAGGGATGTTTAACAAGTGTCAGCTTCTGTGCCAGGAGCGGCTGGTTCTTGATTCGGGGGCTGAGCGTCTTGTAAGGCGTTGGCTGACAGTTGCTGGCAAGTTATGGTGTACGTAAGCGATGCCAGTTGATGCGTTCTGTAAGGAAACCTGTGAGTAGCACCGTGGCACCTTACGCGCTCAGAGAAGAGCCTCAGTTTTGGTTCTAGGTGAAGTTGCCAGAAGAGGCGGAGAGACCCGGACTGCGGTTCTCCGACACTGGAGGGTTCCTCCTTCAATCTTCTCAGCTAAGGCTCAAGACTGAGAGCATGGGTAAAGCCAGTTGGAGGAAAAGCTCTGTTAGGTCCCTTCTCCCTTCTCAGGGCGTTCGGTTGTGCTCCCAAACAGCACAGCCCGTTGGATTCCTGCTTGTCTGACTGCCACATCACCGTCTCCTTTCTCTTCTCTCTCCAGGTTATTTCCAGGATTTGTTGAACAAGTCAGAAAAGGCCCTTTATGATGCTTTTCCAAGCATGTACGGAGAACTGTACACTCAAAACACGAAGGTCTTCAAGGACTTGTACAGCGAGCTACGCCGCTATTACCGCGGCTCCAACATCAACCTGGAAGAGGCCCTCAATGAGTTCTGGACACGCTTGCTGGAGCGGCTCTTCAAGCTGATGAATCCCCAGTACCATATCACAGACGAGTACCTGGACTGCATGGTGAAACACGCGGAGCAGCATAAACCCTTCGGGGAAGTTCCCAGGGACCTGAAGGTGAAGGCGACCCGAGCCTTCATCGCGGCGCGCTCCTACGCGCAGGGCTTTCTCGTGGGCAGCGACGTGGTCAAAAAGGTGTCTCAGGTATGTTGGGGTTCTTCCTTCTCCTCCATTATCGGATTGGCAGGAGGCAGTTGACTACTGCTGTTGGGAGAGTGGGGTTTATTTTCCTTTATGTTTTCATTACAAAACGAGCAATTTTCAATTTCATGAAACCAATCGCTTGAGTGTCACCCATCAGTGGAAGAGAGCAGAAAGCCTGGACTCCTGCAGGCACTGATAGGGCAGAAGAAGCGAGGTAGAACTTGTTGTGCGTCGGTCTCTACCTCATTTTAACCCGTGCAGCGGAGGGCCGGGGAGATGTCGGTCACCCGGGCTATGGAACCGTTCTGCTGCTTGCCTGGATGCCTCGAGCTTCCCCAGCGGGGGAACGGGACGCCTCCGAATCCCGCCGCCTTGCCTTCCCCCCTGACAGAATCCAGGTGGCGCAGAGCTGCCTTGCCGTGAGCGTGCTGGCAATGCACGCAGAGAGCCGCGTGTCAGCGGTCGGCGGTGGGAGCGCTGGCTCGGTCTGTGTAGCCATGGAGATTTGTACAGCTGCTGCTCACAGGGAGGAGGGCGAGTTTGCAAAGTGCGTTGGGATCTGCAGGGGTGAAAGGTGCTCTATAAATGTAAATTAAGGTGGCTGAACCCAGGCTTTCAGGAGGAAGGAAATTGGCTGCGTTCTTCACTGCAGAAGCAGCCTTTCAGAGCCAGAAGGTGGTGATTGTCCTGAAAGGAGATACTCAGGCTTTCCACACAGGTAGAAAGGAGAAAATCCATGCTAAAAAAAAGTGATTTGCGTACTGCATGCGGAGATGGCGGTTGGCAGGTACGCGAAGCAGGGCGGGACTGAGCTGCAGATGTGAAAATACGGGATCGCAAGGCATTTCCTGGGAAGGTAACGCGTGGCAAGGCGTAGCAGAGGACAGTACTGTTTGGAGCAGCAAATCCAGGCTTTGATCCCAGGAAGATCACTGTGGTAGCAGTGACAAATGCTTTAATTTATCAATGTGGGACTATAAAACTGTTCAGCTGCCCACAAGCCTTTGTACATCTCATTAACACCGCGCTCTCCTGACGCTTAAAACAGATGAAAGAGGAGAATGAGGTAATTTCAGGGGGGACCAAAGTAAAATATTTTTCATAAATCCTCTGAATGGCAGAGATTTCCAGCTCGATGTGCGGGATTCTGCCTGTAGCGGGGTTTGGTGGGTAAAGCCGGCTGGCAGGACAACTGCAGTCGTGGTGTCCACGGAAGTGAAGGACCTGAGATACCAACACGCGGCGTATTTGTCCCCTACCTTCATGTAGGCTTCTGACCATTGGGTTTTGATTCCAGCCCCCCCTTTCCGAGTTCTCCTGCTTCTCTTGGCATCGCTTGTCAAACGGGATGCGGGGCACGCGCCCAGCCCGGAGATCCTCCTCTTCCTCTGCCTCCCTCCAAGCCGTTCCTCCAGGACAGTCTTCCAGGAGGGTCCCAGCCATTCCCCTCTCGTACCAGAGCCCTGCTCGGGGTTGCCATGAACCCGGCGTGTTGCTGGTGCAGCACAATCCGCATGAACCGAGTCAGGAAGCCTCAGCAAAGGGAGCTGATTTTGGAGGGAAAGCCAAAACTGGCCCGTTTCCCCTGCCTTCAGGAATGGCTTTAGTACTTTAGGCAAGAGGGGGTGAGAATGCTGAGGTGGGAAATCCGTTTGATGGAGGCCCTCCGCTGCCTCTGAGTGAAAAGGCGTGATTTACCCACTTTGCTGTACCAGATGTGGGTTTACACTAGTGCCAAACAGATGTGAAGTGCTGAGCTCCATCTGCAACTGGTGCTTTGGGTTTAGTCATTTTTCGGGTTGCTTTGTACACTATTACAGAATCATGGACTCATTGAGGTTGGAAAAGACCTCTCAGACCATGAAGTCCAGCCGTCAACCCAACACCCCCATGCCTGCTAAACCACATCCCGAAGTGCCACGTCTACACGGTTTTTGGACACCTCCGCTTACAACGTTAGGAGAAAGCGTAGAAGACTTTTATTAAGATCAGAGATGGGGATTCGACTTTCCTGTCAGCTGATAGCAGCGGTCTTTAAAAATAACTCTTTGAGCTGAATTTGCTGAGGGAGCTGTGGTGAGTGTTTTGGTCAGGAAGTCTGAGAAAGCCTGTTTAAGTGGACACTAGAAATAAATCACCTAGCTTTGGGCCTCTGAAAAATCAGATTACTTCGGTTTTATTTGTTTGCAAATCCCAGAAAAACTGCTGATTTCTATTAAAACCCTCCTGGTTCTGGCTTCTCAGACCGTTCCAGTTCAGTGTTTGCCACCCGTACCCTCTCGCTGTTCCAGGTCCTTGTGCAGTGTCGGCATCGCGGAGCATCCTAGAGAAAGACTCGCGCCGCTTGCCCCATTTTCTGGCTGTCTTAAAATGGGGAAGAGCCTGCCCTGGTGGAGCTTCAGGCAGGGAATTCATGAGATTTCTTTAATCCCCGCTGCCTCTCCACTGTGCCCAAGGGGTGTTTCTTCCCCAGGCTCCAGCCCCAGGGTCTCGTAGGAAGCCGTGGCTCCGGGCAGCCCGTGGCTGGGGGGCACGTGGGGTTGGGAGCATGAGCTCGGCGTCCCGCTGGCGATAAATAGCTCGAGGGCAGCCGGGGAGAAAATGGCAAACCCATTTTTCATCTTTATTGCCGTGCTAGCTCTTAAGGCAAAGTCACCC